GTGTTGGAAAAAAATAATTATTTCTCAGCACCATTGAAAGATTAAGAGTATTTTTCTTTCCAACCAGCTCCCATATAAAACACTTGTAAGATCGAGGCTTAATCTTCACGAAAATTAAGATGAATAAGATTGAAGTGCACAAACATGCATGCTGATTTTGTACGGTGAAAAACTATTGCAGAGGATGTTTAGTTCCTAAAATTGAGCCCTGTTATTTTAAAAGATAGTAGTTAATCTTAATATTTAATTCAATCCCCTGATCTTTGTCTACTGGAAACCTGTACGTTATTATTGACTAGACGGTTTGAAGCCCAAAGTTCAGCATTATAACTCAGGGAGGAAAAATTACATTTCTAGAGTTGGTTATTTTAAACTTCAAGGCTATTGTCTCTACAACCTAGTACAGGTCACTATTCCAAGATGATTAGATTATATACATTCATGGCCTTTCCTTCCTTAAACATCGACAGCCTAAAAAGGATGGGGAATGTTTGGAAACACATGATTCTCTGGTGCTAGAATTTCATTATTTCTGATATTTATGCTTTGATATGTCAAGCCAGTCACACAATTCAGATTAAAGACGATCTACGTCTGTAGCAGAGGTACTTTTCCTTGTAGTATTACTTTAACTTGAGGCTTGTAATTGAATTTTCACAGCCCATTCTTGTGGATTTGTCACGCTTAAATTCAACTCAATGTATATCCTGCGTTTTCTTTTACATTTGATTGGCCATAGTAAGTGTAATAAGGAGTGATGTATTTTTCTGTAAAGGGATAATAACTGGTTTCTTACAGTTACACAGCACATATAAAATGCGTACTTAATGACCCTTAATCAGCTGGAAAACACATTACATTTAATGTTTTCTTACAAAAAAATTTCGAAGTCTCACATTTTCCTTCATTTGCACATATAGTTCAACTATAAAGTATGCAAGAGTCTTTATTTTAGCCAAAAAAGAAATTCCTACCTTTACAAGTTGTAAAATATACAGAATTGAAAATTGACACCTAATATATTTTTTCACTGGATACAGATGTTCAGTGTGAACTCCTTCAAGTAGTCATGAAAATCAGGATAATTAAAAAATTCAGGCATAACGTCAATTGTGTGTTTTTGGTAAATTGTTAATGTCATCCCTATTTGTGCTATGCGCAAGTTATTTTCAGATAATTGTAATAATTTTGTCATTTAAAATTATGAATGGAATCTTCAAATTTCCTTAAACTTTGGGGAAATAAGAATATGCAAATTTTGCTTCAAATGTAGGGGAAAAAAAGCCTTTCAATTGATTCATAATCACTAAGAGTTTACCTTCTTTATTTGAAATTTAACCACATTTGAATAAACTTATACTTTTAAGAAACTATTTTTTAAACAATTTATTTATTTATTTATTGGAAAGGCAGAGAGGAGGAGAGAAAGAGAGGAAGACCTTTTGTCCAATGATTCACTCCGCTAGTGGCTGCAATTGCTAGTGCTGAGTCGGTCCGAAGCCAGAAGCCAGGAGCTTCTTTTCCAGTCTCCCACACCAGTGCAGGGTCCCAAGGCTTTGGGCTGTCCTTGACTGCTTTCCAAGGCCACAAGCAGCCAGCTGGATGGGAAGTGGGGTTGCCAGGATTAGAACCGGCGCCCATACGGGATCCTGGCACGTTCAAAGCGAGGATTTTAACTGCTACACTATTGTGCTGGGCCGAAGAAACTATTTGTAACATTTAATTTGGATTCCTGTTGGCAAAATAACATTCTCTCTATTGTTAGGAAACTCAGGCCAACCTGGTGAATGCACAATATACATTTTCTTGTGCTGGGGCTTTAGTGTCATTTCTGAATTGAGTTGAGCTATATGCAGTTTTGATATGTAAGTGGTACGCTCAGCTACTTCTGTGGTGTAAATTTATACCTGTTCATATTTTGCCACTTGCAGAAGTCATTATCCTGACTAGGGGCTAAAATGTGAATTATTCAATGGGGAGATGGAACATTTGAAAAAAAATGATAATTTTTTTTCTTTTCACCTGCCCTTTTCCCAAAGAGGAAAAAAATCATTTAAAACAGATGTGTCTTGAAATCTAAACAAGTTAGATATTGTTAGTTTAACTTCAAGAAGAGAGTATGTTGCTCCAGTTGAGATGTATTTATTTAGTATTCGTGGAATTGAACTCTTTGTCTTGTTTCTTTTTAATTATTATTGCAAAGTCAGATATACAGAGAGGACGAGAGACAGAGAGGAAGATTTTCTATCTGATGATTCACTCCCCAAGTGACTGCAATGGCCAGAAATGAACCGATCCAAAGCCAGGAGCCCGGAGCCTCTTCAGGTCTCCCAAGCTGGTGTAGGGTCCCAAGGCTTTGGACCATCCTTGACTGCTTTCCCAGGCCACAAGCAGGAAGCTAAATGGGAAGTGGAGCTGTCGGGATTAGAAATGACGCCCATTTGTGATCCTGGTGCATTCAAGGCGAGGACTTCAGCTGCTAGGCCACTTCGCTGGGCCCCCAAAATACTTGCCTTTTAATATTTTAACTTATTTGCTCACACTAAAATCATATTTAGTCTTTTCTTCAGATTTTCTAGCAGTTTACTTCTCTATTTGTTAAAATACACACACACATTGAACACAATTAAAAAGCATTTACTATTGTTAGTAAGATGTCCTTCCCTATATGTGAGATACAGAAAATTACATATATGCATGTATTTCTATCATGTACGTCATCTGATGATGTATCACGGATATGTCAAGAAGTTTTTAGCAAATTGAACAAGGCAAACTTTTTTTAAACAAAATACATTGTTGGGAATAGAATACAGTATTTGGTTAATACCAAAGGAAATGATATTAATGAGTGTGATTATACCCCAAAGAGATCAGTGTGCACTTGGAGAATTTCGTTTTGGAAATGTGACTAAAGGAGACATAGCGCTTGTCCAGGTAGGCCACTGACAGCTGGGTCTGTGACAGGAAAAAGACAATACTAACAAGAAAACCTGCATGACGGCTGCATGAAGAGGTTGCAGCAAGGTGTCAAGGTGGCACGGTAGAGAGGAGGTTAGGGACAGATGGAGAGACCTTTGGATTTGCGTTAAAGGGCGTAGAAGTAGCTGGAGATTAGGCAGTGAGAGTGATGTTTAGCAGTGTTAATTATATCAGTGAATGTGTTTCATATCTGCAACAGGAAAAGCCACTGTTTCTGTGCTAAAGGTGTAGATTTCAAGTCTTTTTTAGATTGTGGCATGAAAAATAAAGGGAAGGAGTTGGGATTTTTAAATTAAAGGAAATTGCAACAAGGAATTGGAGATATTTTTGAAATGTAGGGAAATATAGAACCGGACAAAGACAGAAATTTGGGGGAAATTAATTTTGGAGGAACAAATAAGAACATGATTAGCGAGTATATGAGGTTACTTTTTAGAAGTTCATGTGAGGCCCGGCGCGGTGGCGCAAGTGGTTAAGTCCTCGCCTTGCATGCCCGGCTCCGGTTCTAATCCCGGCAGCCCCGCTTCCCTTCCAGCTCCCTGCCTGTGGCCTGGGAAAGCAGTCGAGGACGGCCCAAAGCTTTGGGAACCTGCACCCGCGTGGGAGACCCGGAAGAGGCTCCTGGCTTCGGATTGGCATAGTATCGGCTGTTGTGGCTCACTTGGGGAGTGAATCATCGGAGGGAAGATCTTCCTCTCTGTATCTCCTCTCTGTATATCCGTCTTTCCAATAAAAAATAATAAAAATAAATCTTTAAAAAAAAAAGAAATTCATGTGATTCTTCATTTGTAATCCTGGTTCTACAAGGTAATACTGATGCAGGTTTAAAATTTCTTTTTCTTGTTTTGTGCATGTGAATAAATCTTGTGTAAGCTAAGTTAGGAGTGTTAATCTCTAAAACATCTCAAACATGGATAACATATACACTCAACTTTGGGCACAGGCTTTCCCCACACTATTGTACAGGTACTGGGTCTAATAGAGAAGTAACCAGAAAAAAAACAAAAAACAAAAAAACAAAACAGTGCTTTGCTCCTACCCAGATCTTTTTGGGCGTTGTGGCTTAGTCAAAGGCAATAGGGCCCGGTCCTCAACTGTTCAGGCTTCCCTGAGTAACTGCTTTCTGCTTCGTGATTGCTGCAATGGCCACTGCAAGGTCAAAAGACACAGTGAGCACTGTTGGCCACAGTATCTGCATTGTGAGTCTCCATCAGTGAACATTTCCAACCTTAAACGTTAGATACAATACAGAGTTGAATTTACAACTGAATTTTTTTTTTTTTTTGGCATTCTATCTGTAAGTGTATTTTCTACACTATGAAAATAAACTCAACTTTTGGTTCCCTCTTCTGTGATTTTCGTATGTATAGTGCTGGGGTATATAGGTATAAGGTGGATAGCTAAAAGGTACAACGTCTTTTTGAGGGATGATAACAATGCCATAATATTTGTTCACAAAGATGCAACTTTCACCTTGGATAATAATTTTTTTTTTGCTCTGTTTAATGTGAAATGTAACTATGGGTTAGAATTATGTTTTTAAACTATAAAACATTGGGATTATTACAGCTAAAGACACATTACTAACGTCAAGATCATATTAAAGGGCCTCACATTGTGACAAAGCACGTAAAACTCAAGTCTGTAACATCAATTTCCCATATGGCTGGTGGTTCTAGTCCCTAATGCTCTGTTTCTTTTCCACCTCCATATTAATATACTTAGGGAAGCATCAAAGGATGGCTCACGTCCTTGGGACCCTGAACTCATGTGGGAGATGCTGAAGAAGCTCCGATTTCATTGATGCCAATTGGGGAGTGATTCAGCAACTGGAAAATTTTGCTCTCTGTTTCTCCCTCTCTCTCATTAACTCTCTTTGACTTTCACAAAATAAAATACATTTTCAAAAAAAGACTTATGAAAAGCACATTTAGCTTAAATATGACATTCTGTTGGAGAGTGATCATGCTTTTACAATGCTTTTTTTTGTTTGTTTATTTTTGTTGTTGCTGATTCAGGGAAGGAGATAACAGCAGAAACTTTCATGGAGAAGTTGGATAATGGGGCCTTACTCTGTCAACTTGCAGAAACTGTGCAGGAGAAATTCAAAGAGAGCATGGATGCTAATAAACCTGCAAAGGTAAATGATCCCAATACAGAACTCTCTGGCAGGTGGTAAAGTAGGTTTGCAATTGTTTAAAACTGAGTGAAATATGAGGATTTATTGGGAATGAATTCATTAAGGTCTATATGAACAACAAACACAACAGCGTTCTTTTGAATTTGGTAGCGTGTTATTTTTACTCTAATTACATGAGTTACACAATCCTTTTGGTAGGCCTAATTATATAAAAGGTTTTGTAAAATGCTAGCATTATAACAGTTCTGTGTATAAGCTGGCTAAACCGATATGTTGATTTAAAAGTTAGCAAATAAACAACTTGGTGTTATGAAGTTGTGAACAAAATCCAGTCAAGAATGTTACTGAATAGGTTTTTGGTTTTCTAAACATTATGACAGAATTGGAGCAAATTTCTGGTGTGTACTTTTTGTTTGAAGTAAGTTGCTTAATGTAAATATTGTGGAAAGACTTCTTTTATATATATTTGACTTTATTGTTTATTTTATGTATATTAATCCTAATATACTTTTCTAGTTAGTATAGAGATGAGATTAAATATGGTGTTAAAATTTTGTGAAAAATATGAAAATGATGAATTAAGTTTTAATAGAGAAAGAAAAGAAGTAAGAAAGATAAAATTGAAATAATTTTGAAGACATTTTAAGATAAAATTAAAAAAAAATTTAAAACTACTTTTGTGAATCTGGCAAAGAAAAAAAGTGTGTGTGTGTCTGTTCAGCATTAACTTTTGATATGTTTTTTATCTGTTTACAAACCTTTGATCATACACTAAACTTCCTCTAACTTTCTTCATCTTAACAGTAGCTGAATAAAGGCTGTAATGAATTCAGTGGCTTTCAAATTTTTGTTGTACATTGAAATCAGATGTTTTTTCTAGATGTCCAGACTGGATCCCAGGCCTGGGTGTTCCCATGGCATCTTCACCAGGTAGCATATGCACATGGAGATTTTTCAAAAGTTCTCTAGATTCTTTCCATTTTCAGGGAAATTTGCTAGTTACTTCCAGTGAATGTAAATTCTAAGTGATTTGTGCAAGACCATCTGTCAGTGAATGAGCAAAAATTTAAGTCTCTTCCATATCTGTTCTCTCATTTTAGTTCATTATGCATAGCACAGATGGGAGGAGCCTATTTATGCAAAAACTTTATTTCAAGGTTTATGTAAGGATCAGTTATTCTTAACATGTGATTTCCATGTTAACATAATTGGCTTCTGTAGTTTAACAATGAAAAAACAATGTTTAGTATGGGGATAATTAATACAAACAGTTTACTGAAAAATTGACACATTGAGAAATGGTGGTTTCCCTGGACTCTCTTTAGAGCACTACATTATCTAGTTTTTGAAATCCTTCTTTATTTGCATTTCTTACCGTTGATGACTGTCCAAAGCTTAAATGTTAAGGTCATTTCAATTATTTGTAGTAGCTAAGAATAAACAATTTTGATAAGGTTAGTATATACTGTTCTAATTTTTGGTTTGTTTTGTACAGCTTTGTTTTTTAAACCTAAATCTCAGATTCCAAAATAACATTATAATATAATTATAAAAACATCAGCCTCAAAGTAATAGTTTATATTTCACAGACTTTGGTCTGGAGAGCAGTTTACTTGGGTTTTCATTTTGTTATGATCTGGATATGTATGAACCTTAGTTTTTATTTCTGTAAAATGAGTTTAGTAATTTTGTGTATAATATTTACAAAGAGAATTGTACAGAAATGAGAGGCTAATATAATGTCATCTTCTTTTCCTGTGTGAAGGAATTAAGAGACCCTGGTGAGAAATTTAGATTGATTAAAAGGAAATATTTTATAGATATCAGTTTTTAGGATAATACCCAACAGAGGAAAACATGTAGACATGTTCCCCAAGTATCTATCATGATATATTAAATTAAGAATATTTATGGGTTGAGATTTTGATGGCTAATTTCTTTTGAAACATTTGTTCAAATATCATGTAATTTTAACAATAAAACCATAAAAACAAAAAAGAAGCAAAGGAAATTTTCTTTTCAAAGTGAATACAGCTGCTGAAAGATTTTATTAAATTTTAAATACTTCCTTGACCCTAAACAATTTAATTCAACAGGATATCAAGCTGAAATTTATCCTGATTATGATAAATTTATTTTAGCTTGGAAAGTTAGCTATATTAATTAAGTAACTTACATTCAAAAATATGCATGATGACCTCACCTTTCATGCCCAGACAGTAAAATTTGATATGAGTTAGAAGCTGATATAATTGCTCTTGACCGAATTTCTTTCTTATTCCTTGGCAGCACTTACGTTTTCAGAACTGAATTCCAACAATATGAATCTTAAAGTAGCATGTGTCTTATAATATGAAAAATGCAAAAATGGATAGTTTTCCTTTTCTGTAAGTTAGGAGAAAATATTTAAAAAGTGAAATGTCAATGATTAATATGTTCAGATTTAGTCTTGGTCATAAATATATTTTTGCAAAACTCATGGTTTTCAAGCAATCCTTTCTCTGTAAACAAAAATTAAAATTACATGAATTTGTAAATAATTTTATTATTAGTAGATCTAAAACTAAGTTGTATTGGAACTTACTAAAACCCAGATAGAATTATTTTGAATACTTTTCATAAAAAGGAGGCTTTTAAATTTGGTATAAATAACAATTGAGTTATGTTACTAACGTGTGTGTGTGTGTGTGTGTGTGTGTGTAGAGTTGTTTTCCACCAGGATATATTGTATTGATATTTTGAAAAATGATGATAAAATAGGTGAGTTGGTCTGTGTCTTTTCCGAATTCTGTGTTAGTGAAACTATATATAGCACATATCACAGCTCTTTAAAGCAATCAATAACCTTAATCCCATTGAAAGTTATTTCACAAGAAACCCTTTGAAATTTTCTTTTATAATTAAAATTGCATGTCCTCATTTTTAAACTCTTAATTTTCTCAAGCCAGAAAACTGATTTAGCTCTGCTATCAATATGTCTTAATCCTGCTATATTTAATGGCAGAGAGACACAGAGAGAGATGTTGCATTCGCTTATTCACTCTCCAAATGGCCAAAATAGCCAAGTGGGCAAGGCTGAAGCCATGAGCCTGGACTGCATGTGGGTTGCTCACACCCAGCAGGAGGTCGTGCTCAGGCTATCTCCAGTGACTCTCCAGATGTGTTAGAAAAGGAACAGTTAAGACTTGAACTGACACCCAACCAGGATGCTGCATCACCGAAACAAATGACAAGTCTGAACTTGGGCATCATGCTTTTTGATTTTTCTGTTATTTAAAATTGGCTTCTCTGGTGAAGGCAATTGTCACATTTATGTGTGATCGGCACTTCCAGGTCAGCTGTATGAGCCACTTCTTCTTGTATATGTACTGCTTCTCTCTGCCACAACTTCGCTGATTTTTGTGCAAAGCTCTAACCATTAGGGCATCAGCAAGGGGCGAGGTATTCAGGAGATTCAGCTTATCTTTTGTTCTAAGATTCCTTTCCATTTATCTCATTTATTTTGGCATCTCTGCCTCAGACCTCACAGTTGTTTTTTTCTCTGGGTTCAGAGCTCCCTTTGACATGAAAGAGCCCTGGGTGGTTTGATCAGTTTTGAAGCACATGAAGAAGGAGCAGCAGAAGAAAAGCTGTTCTGTTATCTAGGAGAATGGTACATTATGCTCTAAGGAAGGAGCTGGGCATTGCACTGTCAGCGCAGAATCAGTCCTTGTTTCAAGGAAAGAACATCCTAGTCAGATAGAGTTCCTATAACACATTTGTCCGTTAAGTGTACCTAGCTCCCTGAGTGGCAGGATAACAGTATTTTAGGATGTTATACCATCTGGGAGTTAAATGAAACATAGAGATTAGAGAGCTTTTCCCCTCAAAAAATCAATAGCACTTTTTGTTTAGAGCACATCTTAGCAAGATTGAATTCAGATAAATGTGACATTTGTATTTTTTGCTGCTGTCTTTGACCAAAAAAGAAAATAAAAGTGATAAAATGCTCTAGTATGAAAGAAAACAAAATTTCAGCTGTGATTAATCTAGTTATTGATATTTATCTATACAAGTAAAATGATCTTATATAATTCTACCAGCGAAGAGTAAAACATGATGAAATGGAAAAAATATAGGTGGAATGATACAGAAAGAATGTATTTTGTTGATAAATGTGTTGCTGCCTGAAGGGCAGGAAGAACAACAACAACAAAAAGTAGAAAAGTTAGTGGAGAAAGTCCAGTTTCCCAGGATCTGCAAAAGATAAATATAAGTGTCTTCAAGTTCTAAAAATATGAATGCAAATAACTTGTCAGTATAAAATTTTTATTACTGCTTTTTCTTTTTTTTTTTTAAGATTTATTTTGTTTTTATTGGAAAGCCAGGTATATAGAGAAGGAGAGACAGAGAGGAAGATCTTCCATCTGATGATTCAGTCCCCAAACTGCCACAATGACCAGAGCTGCACTGATCTGAAACCAGGAGCCAGGATCTTCTCTGACTGCTTTCCCAGGCCACAAACAGAGAACTGAATGGAAAGTAGGGCTGCCCGGATTAGAACCAGTGCCCATATGGGATCCTGGTGTGTGCAAGGTGAGGACTTCAGCCTCTAGACTACCGCACTGGTCTCTATTGTTGCCTTTCCTTTAAGTCTCTGGGCACCAGACCAATCTTCACCAACCGGATCAGACAATGAAGTGTTCTGTTGACTTTTTTTTTTTATTGAAGAGTGTTTTAGTCTATGCTAGCTGACAGAGGTATGCGTAACTGGCATCTCAGTGCTACAGTAATGCACATTATATTGCATAGAATAATAATATAAAAGGAATTGGAATTCTTTTGCTCATCAGAACAAGAAACATTTTTTGGAGTATTGTAAAAAAGTGTCTACTAGGGAAAGGCTGATGTGTATCTGAAACTGTCTGGATCTTTAGAATAATGCTATATTCAACAATGTTAGTAAATGATAAAGTCGTGCCAGACACAATAAAAAATGTAGCCTAATGGGCCATGTGGGA